TGATCGGGACACCATCAAAACATGACCGGGACACCATCAAAACATGACCGGGACACCATCAAAACATGACCGGGGTCAAAATCAAAACATGACCGGGACACCATCAAAACATGACCGGGACACCGTCACAACACGACCGGGACACCATCAAAACATGACCGGGACACCATCACAACATGACTGGGTCACAATCAAAACATGATCGGGACACCATCAAAACATGACCGGGACACCGTCACAACACGACCGGGACACCATCAAAACATGATCGGGACACCATCACAACATGACCGGGACACCATCAAAACATTACCGGGACACCATCACAACATGACCGGGACACCATCAAAACATGACCGGGACACCATCACAACATGACCGGGACACCATCAAAACATGACCGGGACACCATCACAACATGACCGGGACACTATCACAACATGACCGGGACACCATCACATGCCTGGGACACAATCACAACATGACCGCGCCACCATCAAAACATGACCGGGCCACCATCAAAACTTGACCGGGACACCATCACAACATGACTGGGACACAATCAAAACATGACCGGGACACCATCAAAACAGGACCGGGACAGCATCAAAACAGGACCGGGACACCATCACAACATGACCGGGACACCATCAAAACATGACCGGGACGCCATCAAAACATGACCGGGACAGCATCAAAACAGGACCGGGACACCATCACAACATGACCGGGACAGCATCAAAACAGGACCGAGACACCATCACAACATGACCGGGACACCATCAAAACATGACCGGGACACCATCAAAACATGACCGGGACACCATCACAACATGACCGGGACACCATCACAACATGACCGGGACACCGTCCGCCCACGAGCTCTGACGGTGACCCGACGGCGCCCGTCCGCCTATTAGTTTTGCAAGACCCCATAGCATGGCCATTGGGGAATAAATACGTGTGCACCATGTGTGTATGTACTTCCGACCGAGGCGAGATGCAACGACGCGCAGTCATGTTTTCTTATACTTGGAACAGCACCACAAGCCGGACTTGTGGATTTATCTATCAATGGCCATCATTTTGTTTAAATTTTGAGGGTTCGTGCAATATCGTTTTTGTGATTCGGATGCCTGGTGATGGAACTGTGACTGTTATGTACAGCCACACACGGTGAGAATATGTCACGGATGATAAACGTGCGTAGGCAGAGTTCCCCATGCAAAGTGCGGCGACTCGTTGTGTGATTGAAAACAAAACCTGTTTACATGTGTGTTTGCTGACATTGTTGGACTGTTCACATCAACTACTTCTGGATATTTTTTACTGTTCAAACCGTACACTGGTCGAACGTGTGTGCATTCAGGCTCGTGGGAAAGATGGACCAAACCACCAGTCACCGGACCGTCGGACGGCCCGAAAAAGCCCGACCATTCCGCGGACCGAATGTCAGACCGTTCGAGTGGGGTTGCAGGTGGTTCGACGGGTTGAAGAAGTCGCTTGGTGGATGGAAGAACATACCCTCCCTCCAACAAACATGGAAGAAGAGACAAGTGAGCATGTTCGAAAGACGATGTTCCGAAGACCAAACTGCGGGTGAACTCTACTTCCATGTTTGTTGGAGGGAGGGTAAGTTGACGCCGGTCCTTGGTGGATGTGGATGTGAAAAGCACAGAACGTCCCAACCGATATCAGTTTTCTATGCAAGCTGGTGCAAACTTTTGGCACTTGTGTGAGCAATGAGCCGGAACCCTGTTTGTTGCATTTGAAATTGGACAACTCGAAGGCAAATGCCGAAAACAAAGTTGCGTGACCCAACGGTTTACACCCCGTTGGGTTTTTGGAGTGTCCGAGCATGCCCGAACTTCGAAATCGTTTGCACCTCCCAAAACTGGCTCAAAGGTACGGTGAAGCAGTGGTGCAGTCATATCCCAATGCCAAAAAATTAAATCATTTTTCACCGAAATCTGACAGATACAAAGCATGCAAAAACATCCAGCGCGCACAGAAAAGACCAAACCCTCAGTCCGGAAAAACACCGAAGTCGTCCCAGCGCGGAGAGACCGCCCCCGGAACCACGGGGATTTTGCCGTCCTGGCCATGGGTGCTGCGAACCAAAAGGAGTTGATCAGCTCGACTGCGGTGGTTCCAATGGACCCTAAGGAGGCAGAATCCAGTGAAGAACCCCCAACCACGGTGGGGGAGCCAGCTTTGACGGCTTCGAAACCGTGAGGTGCTTGGAAACACTTGGCATCCTGTTTGAAGTTCTTGTGGTCCGTGCTCCCAGCCTTGGTCCCAGCCTTGATGCCAAAAACACAGGCAATTACATAGGTCCATGTGACAGGCCACGGGGAAGTGACCCAAAAAGAGATCGTTCGAAACCTTTGTTTTGAGAGGAGTTTCTCTGATTGGGAAACTGGTTTCTTCAACTGATCCTGTTGGATTTAAATGTAGATTTACTGTAGATCTCACATTTTCCCCCTGTCCTTCTGTTTCTCTTCATGTGCAACATGACCCGAACACCAAGCAATTTGTTCGCCCAGGCCTTTGCTCAGGACCAAGCGGCCCGAAACTTCGAGAAAAAACTTCTGAAAGACCGAGTTCCTTATGGATCACCATGTCTTCGACACCCAATGAGCGAGCACTGGAGTGAGCACCCGCGCCTTTCAGATCCATCGAGTTCACCGCCTTCGAGTGCTGCACCCGGTGTATCAGGCGCAGCCGGCGCGGCCGTGCCAAAGGTGGCACGTCCGGCACTGCCCAAGGCCAAGGCGATGGAACTGGTGGAGCTGGGCACGCGCCAGCTTGTTCTCCTTGTGGCCCACGAAGCCACCCTCGGAGCGAGAACACCGGGTGCGCAAATCAGTGGCGAACCTGGCCCATAACTGACTCTCACGTATCAGGGGCAAGAGTCATGCCGCGGGGGTGATGCCTACGCCTGAGTTCTTGGAATGAAGAAGATCGTCTGGGTCGCCGAGTGTTGAGTTTGATGACAAACCCACCCCACTGTAATTTTGTGGGGCCAGTAAGCAGGTCTGAGGTCCTTGAATGCCGGTCTGGGTTTCTTCATCTTGTTTGGGCCGAAATCAAGTTCGTCCCTTACAAAGGGCTTGTCAGCGTTTGAGGAAGAAGAACAAAAGAAGAACACACCGTTTGGTGCTGTTTTTTGGGTCAACAGGAACATGTCTCTTTTACTGTTCAGTTCGCCTCCAAACGCTGATGGTGGCCGTTTCACCAAAGACACATCCACATGTTCGGTCCATCCGTGCATCCGGCTTCACTGCTTGAGTGAGCCCTGAGTTCGACGGAGCTGGACCTCATCAGCCCCTTTTCGACCTTGAAAAGCTGGACCGAAAACAGCGGCTCCGCGGCGGACGTGTGGAGCGTGGCGCCAGGAAGGGGGGATATGGGATGGGATCAAAAAGGATCGTCAAGCAAGAGCTGGGGGCTCCTTGTTTTCATTCCTTTTTGCTTTTCAGGTCTTTTTTTCAAAGCCACATGGGTTGACTCGGTGGTTCAACTGGAGATGTCGTTGTTCAACCCAAGTTTCAACACGGTTGGAGCTGTGACTATGAGCTGTGACCGAACACTTTCGATTGTTCTAACACTTCTGCTGGCCAGGTTAGACGGTCCGCTCGGGAAGACCCATGGGGTGCGTCTGGGCGTCGTGGGCGTTGCTGCTGGGTGTTGGAGCTGCTGACTGGATCGCTTGGAAGGGGAATGAGAGCCAAGGCGGGTGAAGTGGGATCGACTCCAGCGGCGTCGCGACGTGCGGATCGACTCCGAAGTGACCCTGCTGAGGGTGCTTGGGAGGCTTAAGTGGTCTCTGGGATCTCAAAGGGTCACTTTGAAGAAGCTGGTATTTGAATGTACCTTGTCTTGTCCTTCTGTGAATGTCAATATTATGGGTATGGTATGGCCACAAACTCGTGGATGTATCATATACGCAGTGTATATTCTGTACATGCCTGTGAAGTGGATATTTAGATGTAGCCCAGTGTTTCAGTGCAATTCCCTCAGACTCTTCTCAGAGAAGCAAAGCGGTTCCAGACCCGTTCCGCAAACGGGAGGAGCCACATCCATTCCTCAAGCCGAAGAGGATCGAACTAATCCCAGTGTTGGAGTGCATCATGTATACCCTGGAAGTCCAGGACAATGTAAAACATGATCTTTTAGGTTACAGGAGTCGAGTCCAGGAGTGTTTCCTTTACTTCGGTGGTACCAAGCATCGTTCCTGGACTTGCACCGGTCATCGTTCCTGGCCCTTCTACAGCGGTGATTTCTGGGGATTTACCTCTTCGATCTCATTTAGGACTTGGAACTGGACGTGGGCCTCTGCTGCCGCACTTTCCATCCATATCCCAGGATTCTTTTCCTTCTTGGTGTGTCGGGTTGCCACAAGTTGTTCTTGTGGGGGTCTCTGGTCGCAGATTGGGCTCCGACTGAGCAGATGAACGGCCTCAACACGGCTGATGCTGGCTGGTGAGTTGTCTCTGCTGCTGCTGCTGCTGCACCAATTTCCGACCCCTTTGACCCAGAAAAGCAGACGTTGTACCCTGTCCACTGTGCTTTTTCTAGCTGCGGGTAACTATACTTTGTTCTCACATTTTCACGTGCTGAGAGCCTATACGGGGGCATGGGTGACCGAACGATCCCAGCTTCCAGGGCTGGGGTGTGACTCTTTTCCATGTGGCCATCCCAACACCCGCCCCCCCACCCAGAACTGCCCGATCCATCTCATCCCTCCCCTCCCCCTTGATTTGGGTCTCCATCTTTCATCCGCATAGGGAGCTCAACATCCGGGTAACTGGAGTGAACTCGTTTCGGACCACCTTGCGAACCCTGCCAGGGACTAGAGTCGGGGGGTCTCCCTACCGACCTCCCTCCCGACCTCCCGATCCACACGACCGATGAGGCGCGCCCTCCACGGGCGCCTGGCGCCGCGTGCCGCGCTCCGGGCGATTCGAGGCGTTTGCCTGGGAGGGCCCCAACCCCAAACAGGCACGCCGGGTGGTGCGGCACATGGGTGGTGCGGGGCAGGGAGCATGCGGCTTTGAGTGGGTGTGGATGCGGTGGTTGAGGGGAGATGGTGCAGAAATTGGGGCAGTTTGGGTGTGTGGTTCATGTGAGGCTCTGGATTCTTAGTGAGCAATCTATGGCGGGACCCTCCCACATCTCGCCAATTGCGACCATTCGTTCGTTATTGAATTGACTAGACCTTACAGCAAAGCTGCTCAGCCAAGAACATATGGCCGGGCGTGAGGACTGATTGAGTTGGTGCAGGATTTCTTCCATCAGAAGACCTGCAGAGCTTTGACCCTTGACATGGATTGGGATGGCTCCTGTCCTTCTATTTACTACTAGGGTTGGTCACAGGGGTTAATCATCATAAAGCTTGAAGCTCCTTGGGAAGCATCCACTGAAACTCCTTCATTGGGGGCCAATGGGCTGAGATGATGCCTTTTGATCCAAACCAGCGACTGTCGCGACCGTGTCGCTGGGATGATTCATCCCAATGACGCATATAACTTAACCATACCCCAGGCTTCCAATCACCATTGATTTAAGGGTCTTTACGAAAGAACCATTGTTTTACTAAGGATTTTACACAACGAAAACGGCTCAACCATGTTTAAAAACTAGTCTTGGAAGGCGAAGGGGCATCCTGAACCCAGTGGGTTGAAACACATCAGGAAGCACTGATGCTCACCATGACACGCTGGGGCGGGCTGGTTCGCGCTTGGGAGGCCGTGAACGGCTATCGCTACTTCTTCAAAGGCACGGGTGGCCAGACCCCTTTGGCCAGCAAGGCTGAGAGGACTTTCCCCCCCCAAAAATGTACCTACCTCTTCACCCTTTTTTGCGACGTTGTCACTGCAGTGCACAGAGCAAGCCTCAGCTTTGTTTCTAAGCGGGATAGCAAAGGCATGCATCTTTGACACAGCCCCCATCTTCTTCACCGTTTTGCACGTGTTGTGGCGTGTTTCACACGTGGCGTGCGCTGCAGATGCCACGAAGTACACCCTGGGCAATGCGACGAATGCCACCGAGTTGGTGGTTTGGCAGCCCTTTCCCGAGAACGACCGGGACAGTGCCGGAGCGGCACGTCGGGGCGGATGATGGGACGACGTGGGACGACGGGTCCGAAACGAAGGACGACGAATCCGAGTGCTGGTGGAGTGAATTGCTGCCACCTTTACTCAAGCAGCCCCCGCGGAGTGAAGCGTGATGAAAGCTATTTGTGCTTGAAACAAAATGGGCAGATGGTCAACCATAGTTCTCTTTTTGGGGCTCGGGCGTTTCGGGCTGACTCCTTGGTGTGGGGCGAGGGGTGAACGCTAGACGTTCTGCGCGTCAGACGTTCGGTATTAAGAAGTGACGCACGTCTACACCGCTCATTCTACTAAGGAGCCCACCAGCTGTTTTCAATGGTTTTTCAGTCTTTTTTTTCCTCATCATTCTACTAAGGATGGTAGACTTACAAGCCAGGTCAATCCCTTCATGGGGAAGGCTAGGGATTCATTTACGCCTGCAGTGAAGGGCTAGATCTACCCAGGAGGACAAGCTGACCTCCAGTCCTTGATAGATGGCTTTTAAGCAGGAGGGTCAAAGAGCTACCCACCAACTTTCTTGTGTGATAGAAACGCAGAACATCGGCAGAGGGAGTGAAACACAGGGCCGGGGCACGTTCTGATCTATATATGATATATGTTTCCTTTGAAGCTTCAAACAGGGACCCCAAGGCTCCGATTCCCGATGGAATGTAGTTCACGTGGAACTCCACCAGTAGTTTGACCATTTCTTGGAGGTGCTTCTGAGCTGAGGTGCGGTTGGCGCGAACATCCGCGCGGCATTGTTTAATTTATACCACGAGCAGCTGGACAAGTTCAAGGTAGGAGGGTTGAAGCCAGATCTGGCTTTCAGGAACATGTGTTGGATCACAGGGTTTTGAGGTCACCTGCAGGAGGGGCCAAATGATGTCCACCAGTTAGCTAATCTCTAAAAAAAGGGGTGTGTGAAATTAAAGAGAGCAACGCACGTCGACTTGTGATTAGCAGTTAGCTAATCTCTTGGCGGTCAACATATATAGATCGAGGCCGATCGAGGCCGATAGGGCAGAGAGTCGGGGAAAAGGCCCTTCTTCTGTTCGCAAAGGGATTTTCCAACTAGTGAACCAGACGCACTGTTAATACTAAATACGATGTAGACTCTAGACCTACTTGTTTCAAACAGAGATGATTCAACAAGATCTGTCCACATTAGATCTACCAAATAGACCCATTTGATCTTCCAAAACATATGGCAAAATCAAACCACCGGGTCCTGTCCAACCTGATCCATTTTCCATCACCGTTCGACCTGAATGAAAAAGACGTCAGGCACAGCGGCGTGGCCGGGCATCTCTGTACTCATTGGGTGCCTGTTTTTTCAATGGAAGAACTGATTAAACAAGTTCGGAGATCACGGGTCTTTGGGTGTGACAATACCAAGGTCCGCGATGGTGACCAGACCTCTTTCTTCATTTTGACTCAATTCAGGCCTCGACTGGCGCCCGAGTCCATATTACTTCGGTTTGTTTTCCATGTTCCAAATTAAAGCAAGAAGATCCCCCGCAGGCCACACTTGCCCGCAAAATGGGATCAACTAAACGGCCAATAAGCTGAATAGGAGATCCACGCCTCTCTTCACGCCCCTCCCAAAAAAGGCACTCTCGGTGACGAATTGCACCTCCAGCACGGCCAAAAAATAGGACATTTTCTGTGTTCCGCAAACGTTTGGTGACCAAAACCCTTCTCCGAGAGGGTTTCTTCATTGAAATTCTTGTCGAAGAGCTCCGTCGAACCAAAAAGCAAACAGCTCGTCGAACGGCTCCGAACATCGCGAAGAAAGAGGAAGAAAGAGGAGTTCTGCAGATTCCGTTTTTTTTGGGTGCCAGTGAGGTTCCATGTCGCAGATCAATGGACAAGAGGATGAAAGTCAAGCAACATGCAACATCATGAAGAAACTGAACGCTTAAATGAAGCGAGACGCCAAAATGCCAGCCAACCTCAATTGATCGCAAAAGAACGTAGGACAGCTGCAGGATGGGACTCCACGCTTTTGCGCATCAATCATGAGTCCTACCTCCCTTTGGACCTTACACCCAGCAGTCTGTGTCCTGCCCTTTTTGCAGGTCGGCCTTAAGCCAAAACTGGATAACAACCAGACTGGACAACGACCAGGTTGTCATATATGACATCGAATCCACAGTGTTGGTTCCACATCATGCACA